AGAGAGAGAGAGAGAGAGAGAGAGAGAGAGAGAGAGAGAGAGAGAGAGAGAGAGAGAGAGAGAGAGAGAGAGAGAGAGATTTTTTTCCGTGTATGGCGAATGTGGCGACAAAAAAAAAAAATTATAAAAAAAAACCGGCAGTGTAACAACACCGGCCCCGCCCCCCTCTTCGTCCCTCTCCTCCGCCGTAGCTGCGGCGGGTCCACTTGTTTCATTTAATAGGGCTATAGCCCAAGCATATTTTCACGAGGGAGGGGGAGTCTCGTCTTCGATTGTGTTGCTGGAGGAAAGTTTGTCCCACGTAGACGCGCAACCTTGGATTGTGGGAAGGAGCCCTGATTTCACCTGGGCGGGGGATGCATAGGGAGTACATGCCGAACAACGAAGGGGAGGGTGAGGGCAAGGGAGGAAGGAAATAAGTTGTAAGAGATCGGAAATTATGGCGCACTGGCAACCGGGAGGGGCAGCGAGGGTGCTATCTGGAAGAGTCCCGTCTTCAACTGTTTTTTGCCGGAGGAGAGTTTGTCCCACGTGGACGCGTCTTTACCAGTAACCTTGGACTAAGAGGAGGAGCCCTGATTTCACCTGAGCAGGGGGGATGCGTAGGGAGTACACACCGAACGACGAAGGCGAGGTGAGGGAGAGGGAGGGAGGAGGTAACTTGTATGGGATTGGAAATAATGACGCACTGATAACCAGGAGTGGCAGCGGGGTGCTCTTTAATGTGGGCCCTGGAGCTGTTTTCAATGCTGCATTCATTCTTTCATTCTTTCATTCTTTCATTCTTTCATTTTTACGGCCTACTCGATTCCTACGTTTTATCGAATCCCTCCTGTCTGCTCGGAGGGACACTTGAGTTTGCTGCACAACTGTAGTTCCGCGCTCACGTTACTCCATAGCCCGGCTCATGCTCGGAGGGACTGATACTACGGTACATGATGCTGGGGGAATTGTTTATGAACGACGGTTTCTGGAATGAAGGATGGAGCCCGGATTCCACCTGGTATGGGGGTAGAGATTGCATATCAGACGGCGAGGGTGGAAAGGGAAGGAGAAAAGGAGGGGAGGAAGTGTGCTGTTACGAAATCAAGAATGGTGATGCGCGCATGACCGGGAAGGGTTACTAGGTACTCTTTGGTGTGGACTCTGGAGCTGCTCGCGGTACTGCAGGCATCGCTTTCTTGTTTACCCGGTGTTGGGGCATGCTTAATGCCTGCGTTTTTAGTAAAATTCCTGCTGCTCGCTCGGGGTGACACCTAAGTTTTTGGCTCACGACTATAGTGTTGCATTCACACAGCTCCATAACCCGGGTCCTTCCCAGATGGCCTGGTACAGCAGTGTACGATGGTAGGAGAGTTGGGCACGAAACGATGGATGGATTGAGCACTGCTGTGACCAATGTGGAGTTGGCAACACCGGTGAGGGGTTTTTTGTCACCATATTGGCAAGAAAAAGTTTTCGAGAGTCACAATTTCCATACTTTCGGATTGCCCTTTGCTGCACTCCCCTCGCATGTCCTTTTTCGAATCCCTCTTGTCCCCCTCCCCCTCCTGGGATAAGTAACTCGGTTGTCTGGTATGAATGAGGATTTTTCTTTCATTATAGTTCGCAGTAATGGAAACCTTGCGTGGAGTAACAACATCTGTCTATGTTTTGTTTCCTGACTGTTATGCTGCCCAGCGTTGAGTGTTGTTTATAAAGCATGTAACTTATAACGCAACATGCTGTGGCACAGCTGCGGGAGTATCGTATTCCGTAAACACACACACACACACACACACACACACACACACACACACACACACACACACAAAACTATATATACTTGTGCAAGCGTGCCGCTTTGGAGGCAGACGGGTGTGTGGGCGCTTCCCGCTCAGCCAAACAAACGTGGGGAACCTTGCACCCTCTATTATATTCCTCATCCACACTTTTTTGCATGGTTATGATCCGGAGGTTTGGACCGCGGTGCAGACGGTCCGGGTCTGGATGTCCGGGTCTGGTTTTCAGTCCAGAGTGTCCAGATCCATCCCCCCAACCCACCCCCCAAAAAAATCCGACTGAAGAAAAAAATAAAAAAATCTGAAAATTTCAAAATTCAAAAAACGACGTGCAGCAGAATTGCAATACAAACATCTTTTGGCTGACGACCATCTGCAAGGAATGAGCCCTCACAGCGCCCTTATCAGGCATGCACATGTTCTGGGCTGTGGCCCCCTCAGAAAGCCCTGTGCCCGCCCTAAGTGAAGGTGGGCCTGAATATCCATGAGAGGCCCTTATCTCAACATTTTCCAATATGGGTATCAGACAGTTGCAGCATGCCAGCTGGTTGAAGTGCAACATAGGCCTCTCCCTGGCTCCTTCCAGAAAGAGCAGCTGCGTCCAACAGTTGAGCCCAGAACGCAGGTGGTTGCGCCCTGGGCACACGCAGTGTGAGGCCGACACATCACAAAGTGACTGCGGGCCAATGAGAGTGCAGCATTGTCATCACACAGGCACCACGTGCCAATACGAACACGGCAAACACTTGGAGCCTGGAGGCTACCTGATGGTGCCCAACCAAAAGAGGCCCAGGCCCTTAACTGTAGAGGTGGGCCTGGGCGCAGACACTGGGGCCCGACCAGAAGCTACTGGAAACTTCCGGCCAGGCCCACGCAGCCAGAAAGGAGGCCGCACCTTCCATAAAGGAAGCGAACTGGCCAGGGCCGGGCAATCAGACCTTGGCAGGCAATGCGGTCACACTGCTGCGCTACTGCGCTGGTGTCTGCGAGAGCTGGCTGGACGAGCGCACACACGGGCGCTGAGGTGAAAGGCGCTGCATGGGCAGCGGGGCGCACAGCAGCCATAGCCGGGCTGCAGGGGCGTGAATCCAGGTGATGGCGAAGGCGGTCTTCGGGTAGGAGGCGCATGAAGTGTGGGGTAAAAGGGGTGATGAGGGGAGACAAGAGAACATACCTGGTGCATGTGGAAGGTCGGCATTGGTGTTGACGTCATGTACACTGGTCTTCGACGGCGAAGTGAGCCTGTTGCATGAATGTAGATAGGATAGATAGGCAGAGTACAGTAGGCAGGGCGCTGGGCGCCATACAGTAGGAGCGACACTGGACACTGTGTTGGTGTGGCCTGAGGGCTTGGACATTGGCTCACAAATTCATTGTATCACACTTTATTTGGATGGAA